CGCCACTGCCTCGGTAGATTAATTATAAGAAATTAATATATGATTAAATTATATTACTGGCGTAAAATTTACATTATATATATCACTGACTGGAAGAAATGACGCCGTTAGTTACTGGCGTAAAATCTTACATAGTTACTGGCGTAAACATCTTACGTATATACATTACCAACTGGAAGAAATTACGCCGTTAGTTACTGGCGTATATACTGTATGATTTTACGCCAGTAACTAACGGCGTAATTTCCTCCAGTCGGTGATGTATATAATGTAAGATTTTACACCAGTAACTAACGGCATAATTTCTTCCAATCGGTAGCGTTTATATGTAAGATTTTACGCAAGTAACAAACGGCGTAATTTCTTTCAGTCGGTAGTGTTTATATGTAAGATTTTACGCCAGTAACTAACGGCGTAATTTCTTCCGGTCGGTGATGTATATAATGTAAGATTTTACACCTTTAGTTAAAGGCTTAAAATCTTACAGTATGTACACCGACGCAGCGAACTAGTGAGCTATCGATAGCTTGAATTAAAAGACTGACCTTTGCGTCTCTATCTGAGTGAATCTGCTGGTTCCTGATTATACTTTGGGTCTGTAGTATCCTATAAATCTCACCAAGTTCCGAAAAACAGCGAAATCAAACACTCTTGCAGTTATAGCCGATATATTTCAAGTTTCAAGGGCTTGATGTCCATAATTAGTGAAACACTTCCGCAATTGTTGACAGCAAAAGAGAAAGTAAATTGGAGTGCATGACGGGATAAGTAAAAGAATCACGTGATATACGTACGTCGGCTGCAGTTTGTAATACTTTCCACTGGTTACTGAGATGAAGCTGTGAAGGTCACGCCAGGTTCTTCTCAATTTCCTTATAAGAACATTAATCACGCGGATATTCCAGCCTGCTTACCGGTCTGGAATTTCTGCATGAAACAAAGTTGCTTCAAAATTTCTTTTTCCTGTGCTAGGCTCACCGTAAATTTAAAAACTGTGAGCGTAAGATTTCTATCGCGTGATCGTCAGCTCGTTCAAAGCTGGAATAGGCAGTCACGCAATGGAGATCAAGAGCAAATAATCAAATAGAGCAGGACCTGTAAGGCAAATTTCACGCCAATTAGTAACGATTTTTGAAAATTTGATTCGAGACAAAAAAAGCTGATTCCTTATCCCAGCGCTCTAACCTCTCACCGTATCGCTTGTATCGTCTAAATAAGCTAACTTTCGAGTCTTCGGATACTTTTTCAGATCATAACGCGACTTCAGCTAAATGCACCCGTTGCAACTGGATTTTGGGAACAACACCTTAGAATTAATTCTTAATTTAATCAGACAATGAAGATTGAAGTTGAGTTAAGTATTTTTGTTTTCAAAAATTAACCAGGTATAAGGTTGAATGGAAATGTATATTTTTGAAAGCAAACATCAATTTTCGAAAGAAAACATTACTCATTGAACATTGATACTCCCTTGAAATTGTTAAATCAGAATATATAAATTATTGAATGGTGCACTCATCTGACAAAGCAAGCAAAACAATATATATATATATATATATATATATATATATATATATATCTGCTCCTATGTGTTGAGCACTGTTTTACATACGTCAAATTTTACAATTTTTATATATATATATATATATATATATATATATAATTGTGGGAAATAATAGTAAATGCTGTTGGAAAGTGCTCAATACACATGAGTGTAGAGCGAAATACAGTTCAAAATGACTAAAATGAAACACGCATGATTCCCTGTAACTCTGAGTTTCGTGCTTACGCACTCGTCAGACAAATCGTGTATAATCATTTCGTGTTTACTTTCTAAAAGTTTCTTAGGCGACTGGAAGCTTGGATTTCTTTAGAATACACTTGTTTATCTGTCCATTTTTTTCCACTAAGACCGCAATGCTGCGAAACATCACATGTTTTAGTTACCTTTTCTTTTCTTGAGTTCAACGGCCTACGAAACTTTTTCTTTTAATGCCTCAGAATTTTGACAGGAAAGACTCGGTAACTTACCCTTTGACGGTGCAAGACTATCCTACTGGACTTTGCTACTATCCGTATGATTTTTTTTTTGTCACGGCCGACGAGTCTTTTGAAATGATTTCCTCTTAAGTGAGCCGCAGCGAAATGGGAATCCATTTTGTAGCTATCTTGTCGCTTAGTACTTTGGTATTTGTATTAATAGTAATTAAAATGCCGTGGTAATCTCCTTCGAGCTAGCGAATCAGCGCCCGCGAAGAGCGCTATTATACAGTAATTATAAATCAACTAATGTTATTTTTACAGATGCTGCAATCTGACTGGCCACGCTACTCGCTATGTAGCTTCCGAGATAAACCTAAACAATGAAAGATTATAAACTTATTGTATTCGCTTGCCTAACATCATGCGATGATGAAAAAAATAATAATAATAATAATAATAACATGAGCCTGTCTTTTTGTTGAGTTAAAACGAAAAATAGATTGATATAAAAATCAATTAGATTATTCGTTCTCTATTTCTTCCGCGTGAAAGTTAATGTTAGCTATTAGGTTTCGCTCTCATCAACTATTACGCGGTAAAAGTCTCGAACTCATAATCATCCATGATTAGCGAATTCCTGCATTTTTTTACTTTTTATCTTACCTATTCCCTTCTAGGATCACCTCCTAGTTCCTTTCTAAGGGTTGCATGGTTCCCCAGAGAGAGCTGATTACACTTTGAAAGCTTATCAGAACCTATTTTTTAGGAGCACATGTATCACTGGCATTACCGTTTTACTTGACGAGAGAATAAAGGTTTACAAGTAATTCGGCAACTATTTGCCCATCGAAGTTTTAGAACATTATGATCACATTTTGAGAACATTTTGATGGTCGCCATACTTGTATAGTGCGACCTCTAATATTTTTTTTGAGCGGTGACTGTCTTTCCTTTCGAATTGAAGAGGAAATTTTCCAATGCAGAATAAAAGACAATTAACGATCGGGGTGTACCGTTTAATGAAAATTTTACGGGGCTCTCCGATTTACGATTGTTTTGATCTGTTTCTGCACTCGAAATAGTCAAAATTGAATAAATAGAAAGACAGTTATCGCTGACTCAAAATTCAAAAACTCGATAAATTATCGCAGTGCATACTCCATTTCCGTGAAAAAAATTGATGAAACCTGAAAAAAAAAGTGCAGATGAAGACACGCACGTTTTTTTGTCTGGTCTTGCCCATTGTTTCCATAATAATATTATTTATTAATCATTTATCTCACAGCACTGTCTTCTGATTCACCTCACTTGCGGTGGGTCCAAAATACTAGTAGCTGGTCACTGGTAATTGGCGATTGGTTACGAGTAACTGGTAGCTGGTCACTGATAGCTGGTTTCTTGTAACTGGTCACTGGTAACTGGAATTTGGGTTAGATAGAGGGACTGAACTGCTAATCAATTTCCAAAACTTTAATTCCAAAAAAAAATAACAATAGACCCCAAGCAACCTTTAACAGTAACTAAACATGTATCTAAAACGACTTACATGACTCAAGATATTTTCACATGAACCAGACTATGACCCACGACTTTTGACATTTGGACGTTACTCAGTAACAACGTTACTTACTACCAGTTACTAGTTACCAGTCGCCAGTTACCAGTGACCAGCCACTATCATTTTAGACCCGCCGCTTCACTCGACTCATCCCCTTTTCACGTCCCTCCCGCGGAATGTTTGTTTTGGTATGAACAGGTGATATAGTCTAACTGTGAAATTAAGAGATCCTCGCAGCTAAGAACACTACTGAAACGAGTAGTTGTAAATAGGACCTGAAAAAAATTCAGGCCCGTACGGGATTTGAACCCATGACCTCTGCGATACCGGTGCAGCGCTCTACGAATTTAACTAACAAGCCAAGTGGGAGCTGGTCAAAGAATTGGGTCCAAATAAACATCCAAGTGAATGATGTTTTTTAGATATATATCTGTTTGCTTTGAGTCAGAAATAAAGAAAATTCATAATTTATCGTGTAGCGCGAAACGTTTTATAATTTGTTTGACTTCATGATTTATCACCGGGGTGGGGGAGGTGGAGCGAGGGTATGGAGGAGGGATTAGTCGTCGCAAGAGATAATAAACTTTTTTATTCTCTTGGTTTCGCCAAAAGAGTATAAAGGGGAGGGGGGGGGGGAGGGGGAGGGTGGGTGACGAAAAAAAATTACCGATCAACGAACAGCCAATATGGGGGGGGGTGGTCAAGACAAATTGGTGGTCAAGACAAATTGACAAAATTAATTGGGGGGATTAATCAAATTTTTGTCTTGACACAACTGAAGTCCTCTAACCCTTCCCTCCCACCCCACCCAGGCGACAGATGATGACAGGTCGCTCAAGAAAGTCCGCAATTTTCATCCACGTCCTTGGTAAAAGAAACAGAGCCGTGTGAGTGCAGGGCCGGGGTGGGTTTTTCTGAACCAGCTTACGTCAACCTGTGTGGCTGTGCGCTCATCGGCTTTCACTGTCGTTTTCTATCAGACTGCACGCGCGGTGCCGCACGCGTCATTTGAAAGGACTTATACCTCCACCTCCTGCCTGGCCCACTGGTCCAGTGCGCTCTTGGCCCCCTTTTCTGTGATTAAGGTTTTAAAACAGTATTGTTCTCTCACTCGGCTGTTGTTATTTTATTTTTAATTGTATATGTAAGACGTACTCTCATATTAATAAAAGTATTAAAAACAATAATAATGACAACAACTCTGAAAATTGTAGGTAGTACATGGTAACACAAAGAGCCGTTTTCGATCTCGCTGTCATTCGTCGTTGCGTGACACATTTCAGTGGCGTGACATTTTAAATGTTAATTTCACGTGATGTCCAAATGTGTCGCCATTTTGCTTATTCACGTCATTCTCATTCACCACTTGTACTCGAACGTGATCAGACTTAACATGTGTGTTCCTTTCACGTTGTAAATCCCTTTCACGAACGGTATTGAGCAACTGGGCAAGACGAGCATGATGGGGAATTTGCTGAGTTCGTTGTGTCCGTCTTGCGTGAAGGTAAGGAAAGATCAACCTTGCCGCGCTTGTGAGTTGTTGTTCGCCTTCGTTCCATAGGTAACTCAGGTAATGATCTCTCGCGATAAATTTGCTATTCATTGACTTGTTCTCTGAATTATTTCAATGATCAATCGATCGATCGATGTTTTGACCGCATCGAAAGGCTTGATTCTTGAATTCCACGAAAATAACAAACTCCAGTGCTCCCCCCAAACGTGTCACATGTCGTATACAGATTTGAGTTTCTGTCCTGATGTTGTGATCTCTCATTTTTTTTCTTCTAACTCATATATTATTTTAATTTCATATGAGCCTTCTTTTGTATTGTGTACGTGTCAACTAAACTGTTAAATATTCAAATACGACTAAGTAAACTTAATGAATTGGATAAATTCTGTGCCAAATATTACGTATTGGTGCTTTTCTGTTGTTGCGATGTTAAGTGTGACTTGGGTTTTTCGCTCTTTAATACGTAACTTTCACGTAGTTTCTTGATATTTCCAATAAACCTTTTCGTGCAAAAACTTCTTGTCGCCGCTATCTGACATTTTCATTCAGATCAGAACGGATTGGAGACGCTATGAAAATAGACGGCGAGTTAATAATTGTAGTGGTCACGCAATGCTAAAATTTATTACGTGACGTACCAATCTATATATATGGAGGGAAAAAATCGCAAACGGATAATTGTTGATCATCCAAGAGACAAAGGCCAGCGCGAGTACTTTTGACCCTTTACATAGAAATTTTAGAAAACATATTCTTCACTCTGTCGCCTTTATATTTTGTACGGTAATGACTAGGAGAATTTGTTTGACAATCAAGATCTTCTTTAATTGGTGATCAATTCCTTTATTCTCGTGACCTGAACATTTGATTTAAGGCTGATACTGTAAGGAGAAATTAGAAGCCAGTCACTCTTAGGGGGTCTAAGGTAAAACCCGCTTTCATCAGCAGTACGCTCTTCAGGATTACAAACTTATGACAGGCCTAAAGTCTACACTGTGATTATCATGAGATGAACCAAGCCAATGAGACGCAACAAGTCGCCACGCTTGTTTTTGCCTGCGCCTTTACTCTCGGTGTACGCGTAATTAAAAATAGCTCTTTGTGTCCTCATGGTGGAGAAAATGGTAGCGTTAACGTCCAGGAAAGAATTTCGTCTGAAATTAGATATGTTACGCTCCAAACTAAGACGTAATCAGACGGCATCATCCAAAGTCGGACGGTAACAGTCTGAACTGTCTGATATCGAACAGATTCGTCCGAATTCAGGCCGTGTACCGTCCGATGTCAGACAAAACCGCCCGAAAATCTGACGTTACCATTCGAGATCGTACGATATCGAATAGGGACGTCCGAAATTAGAAAGAAGTGTCCAATATCAATTACCAAAATTAGACGAAACCATCGAAATCAGACGGTCCCGTCCAAAGTAAGACGGACCGCTTTATATCAAACGTATGCAACACGGTATGGTGGTTCATGATAAGAGGGAAACTAAAGTAGGGGAAATTGAAGTCAATGGGTACCTTGTTGATATTATCAAACATTTATAGTAACTCTATAAAAAGGGAGGTGCCTTTGCACCTCTGGATCATTTGTTAATCTACCGTCAGACCTTCATATTTAAATCAAAACAGCTTGAGCTGCAGCTGATCCAAAGCGAGAGAACAGTAGACGGATCTCTTAAAAGCTCTAATATATTTTTTATGTTTTCATCGCAATGGACGAATCGAAATTTTGCGATTTGCTTTAACTGATTTGTCCTGTTTTAGGCAGAAAAGTCGGAGTCCAGCCCTAAGGAGCGGCTGGTTGGGGGAGATCAAAATGACCGTACGTACTCTTCAACCCAACAAGACGTTACGTATCCCCCGACGGAACAGTCGCGTACTTGGGACTCGTCGGAAGCAAGTTCAAAGAGTGTGTACTACACCCCTTCCAGTAGTTTAACATTATCGACAATGATGGACAAACCTAACAACTTATTACAGCCAGTTGAGAAAGAATCAAATGCTGTGCCTTGTTGAGGGCGATTTTTTTTGTTCCTTGAAGCAGAAGAGAGCAACTATTTGTCCCAAAAAAACTTAGACTCAGACACATGGAAATTTTAGTCTACTCGGCTGTTGTTTTTTGAAAGTCGAGACGTATTGAATTTTTTATCAGCATTACTACAGATTAAAGATTTTATCCCTAACTTTATCAGTCCTTTTGTGTGTGAAAGGAATATTGATCAACAATTCCAGATTGAAATGACGTATATTTATACTTTAGAGCGGATTTGCCTAATAACTTTTTTTCAACAACTCAGGTTATCCGATAACCCTTCATGGCCGGCTAAACAAAGTTTAGCCGTTGTTTAACAAATCCGTGTTCTAAACTGTCTTAAATTTAGCTGAATCTTTTGTCTGAACATTAAATTTTTGTGAACAGTGTCGATGGCTAGCAGTGGAAGGAAAAGCCCGGTTTGGTTTAGACTTCATGTAAATAACCGGCTTTCAAAGTTTTGGTGTCCCCTCCTTCACTCACCTCCCTCTCCTAACCCCCCACCCCCAACTACAATTCATCCCTTCATCTTTGGGAAAAATTAAGATGTCTTCCGTTGGATATCTTTCAAATAGTATAACTTTTGATGAAGGTCGGAATGATGGTTGTGAAAGGACGTTATGCACGTGGATTTAGAAACCTTGGCCGCATGCTTCCAGTACACCGAAAGGCTTTTAAAAATTTGCCCATAAGACGAGGACCCGAATGCTTTGAATTACATGACCCGGAAAATATACGTGCTTCATACGATGTCAAGAATCGAAAACAAAAAGATTAGAAGTACATAGCTGGAATCGGATACCGGAAGTATCTCATTTATTGACGTTCTCACTCGGCTGTAGCTCAAGAACATCACGTTGCAACAAGATCTTAACCAAAGCCAGCTAACTTTCAATAACCAAGTAACCACCATGCTACTTCGAAGGCATGCTTCGGCTACAACACATTAAAATTTGATATTCGGCATCAGACTTTCACATTTTTTTATTGTTTTCGTCAGCCAGTTTTTTTTTTTTTTTTTTTTAATGGACGATTTTGAACTGGGCAGTCACAAACTACAGTACAGATTACGTGACGATTACGTTTCGTCTTGTACCTCTAGCTGGTAGGATTTTTAGAGTCTTAGAAAATACTACCGGCTACAGGTACAGCTTGCATTTGTAGTCACCTTTACCCAATTTTGAGTGCAGTTTGCTTCACATTTTACTTTTCTGCTCTCCAAATTAGTCTTGCACCCCTTTCAATCACTTTTTCAAGAATAAGTATACATTTATTTTTTATTTGGTCTTGTACTTCTAGCTGGTAGGATCTTAAGGGGCTTAGAATATACCAACAGCTAGAGGTACAGCTTGCATACCTAGTTGACTTTGCCCAATTTTTATTATGGTTTGCTTCACATTTGACTTTTCTGCACCCCAAGTTGTAGTCTTACTCTCTTAGGAATCTTTTTTTTTTTTTTAAGAATACATTTGATTTTTTTTCATTTATTTGGTCTTACACCTCTAGCCGGTAGGGTCTAAGGATGCCTAGAAAAGACTACCAGCTAGAGGTACAGTTTGCATATTTGGTCATCTCTGCCCAAATCTTTACTGCAGTTTGCTCATTTTACTTTTCTGCTCTCCAAATTAGTCTTACACTCCTTGGAATCACTTTTTTCATGAATACATTTACATTTTGTTCTCTCTTATTTAGTCTATAACCTCTAGCTAGTAGGATCTTAGGAGGCTTAGAAAATACTTGAGGTACAGCCCACATATTTTATTAACTTTGCCCAATTTTTATTACAGTCTGCATTGTATTTTACTTTCTGCCATTCCATTTTAGTCTTATACTACACTGGAATCATTTTTTTCAACCCTTGGTCATGTACCTACCACTGCTTATTTGATAGCACAGCACACAAGCTATGGGCATCGAATGACTCTTTATGGGGAATCAGCCATAACTAAAGCAGGCGTTATTTGGCAATAAGCAAAGGGTTTCTGATCGGTGTTGAAACAAGGAAGGTTTGATTTTTTTTTTAAATAGTAGCAATTTTTATTAAAAATACGTGATACATAACATAGGCTCAGGTTAGTCTCATTCATATAATTGTTTAAATTCTGTATATATAGTAGATGACCATTCTATGTTTTCAAGGACAAATTGCCTTAAGGTTTTCATACAGTAATACATGCTGTTGACCCTTTCACTCCCAATATCTAATTAGTAATTCTCCTTACTATCTGCCATACAATTCTTATGATGTTAGTTCCGAGAATTTGGTATTGGATCAATTAATAATCCCATGATTGATATTCTTCTCTATTCTCATCACCAAGCTTGATATTGTATTGATATTGTAAGGAGAAATTCTGTCTTGGTCACTTGTGGGAGTGAAAGGGTTAAATATCATTGAAAATACAAAGGGAAAATGTCATATTGGTGAATTTAAATCATGTTATCCAATAACTACCTAAATATGACTTGATTTTAGTATTTCAGACAATGGTTGGCCTTGTCCACACTACTTCTAATCAAACACAAATATCATGAAAATAGAGACTGTTCCTCTCTAAGAAATTCCACTTGTACTTAAGCAGAGTATTATATGACAAACTTCAGTAAATTTGGTTGATATGTTCAAGTCTAAAATGAACTTCAAGTAAAATTCATCTAAAACCATTAATATTTGTACTGAAATAAATCCACAACCAAAGAAAATACTAATCAGGCTAGTTTAAAATTCATTAATTTGAGATTCATTAAAACATAACAATGACGCTGATTTCAAGCTTACTTCACATACATAAGCTGCCCCTCTGGCTGGTAGTGTTTTCTGAGTAATCCAAGCTCTTACTAGCCAGATAAACAAGAGTGCAAAGCATACAAATATACCTAGGGAGTGACTCCACAACAGTATGAGACTAACATGGAATGTAGAAAGGTTTTTCCATATGTCAAGAAGTAAATGAAATTAGCTAAATTCACCTTAAATGCAGGAATTACCTCTAGCCTGTAGCATTTTCAAAGCCGCCTAAGATCCTACCAGCTAGAGGTACACAACCAAGAAACAAGTGGAAAACTAGATTGAATGCCAAAAAGTAAAATTCAAAGCAAACTGTGATAAAAAATTTAGCAAATTCAATTAAAAATATGCAAGTACCTCTAGCCAGTACCTCTAGCTGGTAGTATTTTTTAAGCCTCTCAAGATCCTACCAGCTAGAGGTAGAAGACCAAATTTAAAAACAACAACAACAACAACGACAACAAATGTAAATGTACTCTTATAAAAAGGGATTCCAAGGAGTGTAAGACTAATTTTGAGTGCAGAAAAGTAAAATGTGGAGCAAACCGTAAAAAAAATTGGGCAAAGTCAACTAAGTATGCAAGCTGTACCTTCAGCAGGTAGTATTTAACAAGCCCCTCCAGATCCTACCAGCTAGAGGTTCAAGACCTAATAAAAATAAATAAATGTATACGTCTTCTTGAAAAAAGTGATTCAAAGAAGTGTAAGACTAATTTGGAGTGCAGAATAAGTAAAATGCAACGCAATCCTTCGTAACAATTGGGCAAAGTTGACTAGATATGCAAGCTGTACCTCCAGTCGGTAGTATTTTCTGAGCCTCCTGAAATCCTACCGGCTAGAGTTACAAGACAATAGAAATTTCATCTTGGGGATCTTTCCAAGCAGTAGCAATATGACAAGGGCATTATAGTGGCGATACTATTCATAATGTTTGTTTACCTTTGCAAGCGTAAGTCCTAGCGGCGACAGTGTTAAGCTAAAACTCTGCTGAACAGGAAACTAACATCGATGAGGGTGAAGGAAACAGCCACACAAAATTTAGCGAAATTTCCTCGATTTAAATTCAACAATGTATTCTTCACATGTTAAGCATGTTATAACGTTCATGTCTGGTTCAGTCACTTCGCTTGACTTCATATGGAGATATGTCAGTTGTAGCAGCACCCGTGTTCCGCCCTTTTTTACGTCATGTATGCGTCGCGGATTTCTGCTCATGCGCGCTAGTTTTGTTATGTTATTGACCACGCGGTCCGATGCTAGAGCCCGGAAAGGCGTAAGTTTTTACCTTTCTGCTTGCCGTTTTCCAGTTTTTCATATACCAACTGTACATCTGTATATCTAGTTTGACAGATTCACTTCTTTAGCGATTTGGAGATGTATTACGCGTGTGGATTTGTGATTAAAGCTATGATAATCTGTTCAAGTCAAATGGGTGTTTTGGATTTCGGACCCGCGCTGGCATATCAGTTGTAGTTGCAGAAAACAATAGTGTTGTAAAGCCGAAATGTTAACAGTATACTTCGCTAAATAAAATGTGAAGCAATTTTTCAAAAGTGTTGATGGCACATATATCTTTTACCGCTGTATTAAACAATGGAGGTATCGGGAAAGGCATCGGTGGCATTCGGAAAGGCACTAAGAAGAATTATATTTACGTTTTGTAACTTGCAAAAAACAATCGTATTGTAAAGCCAAAATGTTACCAGGTTATACTTCGCTAATTCAAAAGTTAAGCAATTTTCCAAACGCTTTGACTGGAACAATATCTTTACTGCTATATTAACCAACGGAGGCATCGGGAAAGGCATCGGTGACGCCGGGAGAGGCATCAAGAAGAATGATATTTACGATATGTAACTTGTTGTATGACGGAAAAAAGTATCTTGACTTGTTTAAGGCGTAAATCACAGTCGGTTTGCTTTTCACTTGAATTTTGCAATCTCGACTTTCGATTCCGGAAAAATGAAAAGCTAAGCAACTCTAAAAAAATTTCGCTCTAGATTTCTATATTTTTAGAGTCATTAATAAGTTTGTTTCCACAGCCTTTAGATAAGAAATTTTAAATTTCCATCAGCTGTAGTTCTTTTAGTGTTTATTATATATATATTCAATCGCCTCATTTCACGTGAAAAAGGCATGTAGGAAAACACTGAGCTTCGAGAAACAGCCAAGTTAAGGCTAATGTGTTTACCATGCTTAAATATTTATAATCAGGGCCACTCGTTTAGGAGACCTTTTTTTCAGAAGATCCAGGCGTTAAAATAATTCTGTTTTCCGTTCGAAGTGTTTTTTTTTCCTATTTTATTTAACAAATGAACTCGGGATGAAAACTTAATTTTCGAAGCGAACGCAGGTGAAATGTTGTGTTGGTGCCTCTGTCCCCCCCCACGTCTCTGCGAAAGGTACATCCAGACAACCTGCATGGAAATACTGGCCACAGCTATCGCACCAAATTAAAAAAAAAATCTTTAAAACTAAACTGGTGAGCAGCACTCTACGAACGGTAGTTGTAAAATTTCTTTATTCTCCGACGTGTTTCGTTTAACTGTCGTAGACTTCTTCGGGGAGTTTTACAATTTAACACTAAACACCTGTATTTATAAGCCATAGTTAGTGGCTATACGGGAGCCAATGACCATAAAGGCTTGGCCGGACCTACCAATAGGAAAAGGTGAAGTTGCGGATAATTTGAAAATTTTTTGGTGCAAGGTCGGAGAATTCATTTGGGGACCACGGTTTTGGTTTTCTTTTTTCGTCACGTAGCAAGTTACAAAACGTAAATATAATTCTTCTTGGTGCCTTTCCAGATGCCACCGATGCCTTTTCCGATACCTCTATTGTTTATTACAGCAGTAAAAGATATATGTGCCATCAACACTTTTGAAAAATTGCTTAACATTTTATTTAGCGAAGTATACTGTTGATATTTCGGCTTTACAACTCTATTGTTTTCCGCAACTATAACTGATATGTCTCTATATGAAGTACTAAATTTGTTTCCCGCTGGCCACTCGTATTTCGGTCTTTTCTTCATCCCCGACTCGTCGCCCGTGATGTAGTAACTCCCGACAATTTCCGATAATCACCCGACTCGGAAACTCGTCACTAGTGCTCCTCGGGCGTGCCTCTAGACGGTAGGATCCTAACCATTTTACACAGCTTATCGATAGAAACCTACAAAAATTCAGAGATCTCCTCTATGAATTCATCGACGACTTCCACCTTGATGTTGAGCCAGAGGTATTGAGACGATGAACTAACCAAGGAAGCGCCAGATCTGCTCACACTGATTTCTAAGCACATTCCGAAAGTCGACAGAACAACGACGTACTGTGTTTGAACTCGCTTTTGATGGATCTGTGACTCGGTTATAAGATCTCAGGTCTATTTGTGGCCGAATTTCATAAAAAGACGTCGGAGAGGAAAGAAATCGTTGGCTTGTGATTTCTGTTTTGTTGAAACAGCTGGTGGAGCCCGAGCACCTCTTTATTGTGCGGAAGTTGATCCAACCATCCGTTACAACAGTTAAACGATAACATGGGAATTATCATCACGTGCTGTGGCGCGGCAAACAACGTAAGTATATCTCGTTTTCCGCAGTTTTGGAAAGCCGATTGGTATTTCCGTTACAGAGTAGAAATGCTGCAAAACAAAACATCTCTGTTTGTCATTTCCAATTTGTTACGTGGTGCGTTCTCTTCGCTTTAGTTGCTTTCGAGGCGCTCCATGCGATAAGAGCTACAAACGACATGACCCCAAATAACAATTAGCACGGGAGAAAGTTAATAGGTGAGCGACAGACTTTCTGAGAATGCTGACTTATCAGTGCAAACCACATTCTCTCGGCTGTTACTAACGTGTCATTAGCATATAAATTAATTCAGCATGATACCACAGGAAGTCCAAACTCTCTATGACAGGCTAATATTATAAGGCTTTTAAGGGAGGTTAGGCTCCGCTCTGTTCTCCGTAAATAATGAGGGAAGTAAACCTTGACCTTCATGTGGTGTTGTTTATGTTATTTTTGTTCACTGATGGCGATTTCAGGCCAATTTGTCGCTTTTTTAGCTGAGCATTCTTCCCACGACTTCCTGTACTACGCAGGGGGAAAAGAAGGCTTCATCATACCAACGGACTGACCCACTCTCAAAAATCGCTCGATTCTCAGTCTAAAGCGCGTCTCCTTGCCTCCTTATTCAGGATTATGAGAGCCCGATAGTTTTCCTTCAAATTTATCGAAAAATATTCCATAGTAGTCGTGCCGTCGTGGCAGAATCCAGCGAGAGCGTTGTTTTCTTTCTACAGTCTCATTGGCCGAAGCTAACAATGGCTTTTTTAAAAATATTTCTGCATGTTCATTTGAAATTCTCGCTGGATTAATTCAACGACATAACTTAAGCGGCCTTAAATCGCTACCAGTGGACAAAAATAAAACAAACAACAATTATTTGCGTTTGTAGCAGGACAGTCCTTACGTGAAGCCCTTGCTTGAAGAAAATTCCACACCCACTGCAACCATTTCAACTAAACAGAACAGTCCTTACCCCCAGACGAGGGGGTTCTATGAAGACTTGTCAGATTTTAGTCTGGAGGATGAATGCCTTTTTCCGAGGTGTTTTTCATCAGCAATAAAGCGGACACCCGGCAGACCTAACACTCCACGAAATGAGGTGAAAACTCGTTGCTTGCTACTTAGGGGTCGGTCAATTATTATCACCGGTGGGGGGGGGGGAAGGGGGGAGAATCGGAGGCTTTTGGTTATTTCACGATAAAATTTACCTGATTCCCCATAAGGCTCTGTAATGTTCTAACAATTTCCCTTCCCCCCCCATTGGCAATTAATTGGTCATCAACTTTCTTTAGTCCCCCCTCTATACTTTATTGGTGACTGATTCCCCCTTCGTTCTCCCTGAAACTTATGTGATCCCCCTAAAATCCACCCCCCCCCCCCCCCCCCCCATTAAGGCGATGAATAAGGACTAAGGAATAATTAGTCATGCATTTATTCATGCATTTATTTGTTTATGTATTTACATCACGGGGTTTGTATCTGGAAGAGTGGGGTCAAAACAGCACATCATCAGAGGAATATTCCGTGTCAGGCGAGTGCCGTTTACAGAAATGCCACTCAACATACCGCTGTGTCATACTGTCTAAACTTGTAAAGGTTCTTGATAAAATCTTCACTTGTGATAAGTTAAAAGATAAAAATTTGTATTCGAACAAATTTGCACACCCAGTGATGCAGAGGTTATCCCTGTTTCCATGTTCCATGTAGCATGAAGCGACTGGGAGTATTATTGCTCCCCTCTGGCCGGGATGTTAGTTCATCGTAAGGTTACCCCCCCCGCATTTCGTCAGGCTTCCAACAATTCGCAGGTACCTATTTCTACTCTTGTGTAGAGTATTTTTTGGTGAGAGTAATGTGTTTTGCCCAAGAAAATAGCACATTGACCCGGCAAGCTCTCGAGCCCAGACCTCTCAACCATTAGGCCGCTGTCTTTCCCGGAGATAGTTGAAGGGAGAGGTACACTGCGTGTAATCCTGCTGATATTTCCCCTTACCCCTTACACTAAGAGAATATCTCGAAAGGTTTGGGTTGTGTTTGTCTATCCAATCAGTATTCATTTGAATTCCCTTTGTCAAGCTTTATTTAACTACCCCCCCTCCCTCCCTCCCTCCCCTAAGCATTTTGCACAAACATTGATAATGTATTTAAAATCCTCAACTGAACAAGACACTTCTTTTCCTCAGACGGGCGAGTCCAGCCATGAAGACTCGTTAGGAACAAGTTCAGGGAATAATTTCTATACCCCTAGAAGTGTTACACCAGTAACTTGCCAGATACTGGACACATCCGATCCACCATCAGAGTCAAGAGTTGAGGTAAAAATTTTCTCTCTACCTGTACAATGTCTTTTGTTCTTGTTTACATGCAAACAAGGGGACCAGTCGCTGATTTATCGCCGGGGGGGGGAGGCTGGAGGATTTTGGAAGGATGGCTCGGTTTTCGAGGAAACGGGGGGAAGGGGGTACGGTGGTTGCAAACAGATTATAAAGGAGGACTTGATGCGTGTGTTATTTCGAGCCCCCCCCCCTCTCCCCCAAACAGTAAGACAGGTAAGTGGAAAAAATACATAGGTTACGAAGAGAAAAATTCGGAGAACTCTGGAATAGCAGCTTCGAACCTTCCACCTTCAAGCGCCCCAGTCCCATCATTCCGCCTAATGTAACATAGACAGCAGTTTTGACCCTTATCAAGCTCAGCATTGACAGGTAAGAATTTCAAGTTCAAACCAGACAAGAGTAGAAACACAAACCGCAACAATAAACTTATGAGGAGTGCCGAATCTGTTGTAAACCTAGATCTATTAGAATATTGAGATACCTATAGATATTGCTACTCAGTGACTCGCTACATCTAATGCTAACAAAATGTACGTCTCTGTCCGTTATGTCTCATTTCAGACATGTCCTTCGAATGAAATCCTTGGAATACTTACGGAAAGTATGTCCTCTGTAGTTGCTTCAAGCGGTGTTGGATCACTTAAGGTAAATGAAGTACCCCCTCAAATGGTCTGGACGGTCCTGTGATAATCAAGCTTACTTTTGATTAATCTAACGGTGGACAGAATGTGCCTCTGTTTCAATAAGAATATGGCGCTCGATTAATCAACTTTCAATCAGACGGCCATGATCTTGTGTCCTCAACAGGCCGTTTTCTAGAGGGTCCATTGTATCGATCACAGTGGTTAGCCAAAATATCTTAGCAAGCCATTGCACTTGTGTGTCGCCGATCTGATTGAGCCCTCCGCGTGAACCCGAGGAAGCCATTCCACTTCTAATCAGAAATTAAATCAAATTCGATCATAATGTTTATTATGAACAAAAATACATGAAAAGAAACGACAAATAAGCTTTCATATAAATAGAATTATAAGAACTAGCGAGATTTAAGCTTACAGTAAAGTTACAGCTAAAGTTACATCGAAAAATGCTAAAATCCTACTCTTAAACTATCACCCTAGGAAGATTCCGGTTTTGATTCCAGAAGAGACGTCCAGTTTCCTAACTTTCCGTCCACGGGGACGAGAAAAGATAGTTCAGGCAGGGAAGAGTCTGCTCTTGTGTCCAGAGAGGGTGGATCACTGAAGGTGGAAGGCGTCGAACTGTTTTGGCCTTCTGGAGCTCTTGACGATCCTGAAACTATTACGCTTGCATTGGAAGATCCCTGCAAGCACTATAGGCTGATATTTCAGAGGGGACTAGAAAACGATCTCAGTTTTGGCGCAAACGTAATTAATTTGCAACCAAATGGTCTAAAATTTAACAAATCTTTGACTTTGAAAATCACCTTAGACAAAAACAAAGGCCCGTATAATGAGTGGCTTGTTCTACACGGCAAACAAGCCACAGATGGAAACATTTTTTGGGAAACTATTACTGATCAATCAAGGTTTGACTTGGTAAATGGGGTAGTTACCACTGAAATTAATGGGTTTTCGATAATTGCTGTCCTTTTGAGATCAATTTGGGTTCAATTGAAAGAAATAGTGACGCGGCTCAACATCATGTCATTCAAATATACGTTGTCGGTACTGTACAGAAGCAATCTTGAAAATTATCCTTTCGAGGAGGTCGGTCTCGCTTTAATGAGCCAGGATGTCTACCAAGAGCGATATTACCGAGAGCACGATGAATGTGTTCTAGAGAAACTTAAGAGAGATGGGTTTGAAGAACTTGGATCTAACGTTCGCGAAGAAACCAACTATATTTACAATGGGGAACGCCTGGTGGTCTCAATACGGCTTGGTGAAGACTACAAGCTTGCAAACAACCAGCGAGGTAGCATTGAAATGACTGTTGATTCGTCCGTATGGTGGAGCACTGGGAAGAGCGTTACGTTTCCGTTGCAAAGTTCATGTACAAAAGCCAAAATTTTATGTGGAAAAGTCAAAATTGAAGGCCAGTATGGGCATACCCGCGAGGATGACTTCTGTCAACTAGGTTAGCTTCAATCAAATGTTCTTTTGACATTTCATTGGATAGCATGTAAAGTTTCTTCGATTTGTTCGTTCAATGTTGATGATATGTGATAATTTTTTTATCTAAAATTATACTTCATGTTTATGATTCCAAGAGCCGATGTATTTTCTCCCGTAACGAAATGATTACCTCATCATCTTTTCTATTATAGATCTATCTTGTTACTTGAGACGCCTATTGGGAGTAGGAGAACTAGCTTTCAACCTTCGACCCATTCACGAAAGGCTTGAGTTGCCAGCGGAAACGTGGACCCAAGCTGTGTCTCGGTGGCAAAGAGAGGATAAACAGCTGGAAACTCTTTTGCAGAGATGGAAAGAGCAGGAAAGGGACGAAACCCGTCCTGCCTTGCTGAAAAGATCCCTTGAGGGGCTAAGGCCTGAAGGTAGGATGTTGCAGTATTTCAAATACAGATTTCGTACACTAAGAGCTTGTGAAATGTGTAAGATATTACAATTCTCTGATGACATTTTCATCCCTCTCATCATTCCACAATAACCTGCATAAATAGTTTAAATGTATGAAAAAGTAAAAGCATTGTATTGTTTTCGGTGGATAAACACCGGCGTTTTATGTTTGAGATTCAATCAATGGCCAGCGTATTATTTCGAACTTGGTACTGCTATTAGCTTGGCTCCAAATATTTTTATAAATCATTTGATTTATTTGCTAGAATACAGAATAAACGAGAGAGGGCAAATGCATATCACACATTTGAGAGAACTGGCGACTTCGATCCTTGGTCTGAATCATGAGGACCGTGACATGATGAAATACTTAGAAAATGAGATAAGAAATTTATGCAGATCTATTCTGAGGGACTGTTGCATTGAAATCGCCAATTCAAAGGAAGATATGAAGTGGGCAAGTTCTATCGAGAACCACACCAATATTCTTGTAACCAAGGGAATTGTTTCCAATGAGGTTTCCCAGCGATATAAGGCAATGTTTTCATCTGCTGAAAACGTTGTTAAAGATATTTTTCTTTGGCTGGTTCCTCATCTCGTTCAAGCCGTAAAGGATATCTTCCGAGATGAGAGTATCCCACTTTCACAAAGTGGAATGAGAGGACTGGATGAGGAGACGGTCACTAGAATTGCGTCAGCGATTCAAAACGCTGCAAAGGACAAAAAAATACTAAGTCTTTTCACACAAGTAAGTAATATTCTTGAGAAGTTATGCCATGAAAATAATAACAATCCATCACAAAGCACAGATGAAAAGATACAGGAGTGGGGAAGGTCTGTCATGGTTATTACGATGCTGGATTCGTTGGAAGATATCTTTGAAACTGCAGGCTCAGATCCCCGAAGATTGCGCGAAAGATTAAGAGTCGCTTCACTCTACCTTAAAGACATCATGTTAGATCCAAAGGCCTACGAAGGAATTTTCCTTCGGGACTTCCACAATCTTTCATTGAGTCTATTGAAATTTTCCAAATTTGATCCATCACAGCTTGTGAGATTTGAATTGATTGACCCAAATGATTCTTCCAACACTCAAAGTAACGACTTATTGAAGTACCAAATGTTCTTGTCGAGAGGAATGCGCTTTTCGCAGCTATTCTGGATCAACAAAGAGTCTGAGGGCGACTTAAAACTTGAAGCAGTTGCACATGTTCACATTGACGGACATCATCGAAAAATCGGGGCGTTTGAATCAACAATCACAATACCCCAGGCCTGCAGTGAAGTTATAGACAAACTTCCAAACGCTTCTCTGCCTGTAGCTGTCGAAAGAAACTATGGCTTCTGGGGAAAAATTCGCGTTACTCTTTATTCGACTCAAAAAGAGAATGTGAGGAAAGCACTGGAGTATCTGGAGAGGGAATTGGGCGAAGAGGTGGTTGACCTGAAGAAAGAGAAGATTGCAGAAAGTCACCTTAAATTTCGCAGCTTCGCAAAAGCAGGCACAGTTGTCAAACTGCGTTTGATCCACGAATGGGGATCAGAAACGATTGGTCTTGAAAGCGATGATTTCCTAGCCCTTGCAGACTCGCGTGCAGGAGGTGCCTGCATGCCTGATTCAGAAACAGCAGGTTGGTACACGTTCTGGCGTTGACCAACGGTAATTTGCATGACTTCTGATGCAAGAAACCGTATCTATTCCAACAAAATAACTGACAATTCTTTTACTGTATCATATTAAATTGACTGAATCAATTAACTCTAACTTCGTACAATTTACTCCAATAACTGAATAATTTGCAATGGAGATGACTCCTCATCACCATCAATTTTTCAGCTGAGGCCAATCAAGTGACGGTTCTACCTGCAGTAGGCGACTCAAGGGCTGACACTTCCGACGGGAGCAACTTTGTTATGGATCTATCGCACTCGGAGGTGATACAGAGACATCAAAAAGAGCAGCGAGGGAAGACCGGTGAGACACTTTAGTTTTGCTAACTAAAGAACTATTCAGACATCAACCCGGAAGCCCAAAGCCAAACTCGTTAATCAGAATTCTTTTACTGATATACACTTTCGGGTTTTTTACTTTCTGGTGATGTTTTCCACTCTTCCTTTCATATGCGGTAAAAATGTAATGGATATGCAGACGGCCGACTTCTATTCGACATAAAATTGTCGTGATGTTCCAGGCAGTGAGAGATGTTAGCATATCAAGCACTTCTTCCAATCTTTTGACGTAAAAAATTGGCGACAGCTTACTAATGCCAAGTTGTTTCGTAAGCTATTGGCCGTGAAAAAATATTCCCAGTATCATGCCAGACGTTTGCGTTTTCAAACCACCTCTTTACTTCTAAGATTTAGAAGTCCATCCTCCTCACTTGAAACCATAATTTAATTCCTTCGCTGGATATTCCTGAGAATGTGGTATGATCTCGTGACACAGCGTCTTCTAGTTGAATTTTTTCTTTATTCCTATTAACAGTATGTTTGTATTAATCAATTGTATGGGGAGCTTAGATGATTAACAATTTTGGGAGTCAAAAGGTAGAACATCTACGTGGAGAATGCTACAGTTACATTTTTAAATAGCCACTTCTTACTTTCAACTCTTGTTACAGAGATCCACTATCACCAGGTTTTTATGAAAGGTCATGTTTGCGTGGCGGGAAAGGACACCAGTCTTAATATGCAAATGCCAGCCGCTGCTGAAAGTCAAAGGTATGTTCAAGTATTTGTGATGTTAATTTATTCAAGTAAGAATCCAACCAGGAGACTGGATCATAAATACAGCCCATGTTTTCACGGCTACTCCTGCTAGGCTATTGTCAGATTTCGAAACAAGTGAATGGATAACGGATGATATTCACACGTGAACTGCATAGGTACAAATTGCGAAAAAAAACTGCGAAAGTATTCAGGCTTCCATGAGGTTCAAACCCAAGCCTCCTGAATACTAGTAGGGTGCTACTACATTTAAGCCATTTGTACGAGGCAACATGGTGGGAGCGACTCAAGTTTAAATGGGTTCTGTGTTCCTCGTGTTCCAAAATCTTAAGGAGTTCTAAATACAACCAAACCTGTATGGTAACTTTTATCTTCCTAGACGTTCATTTAGTGGCTATTCGTTCCTTACCTAAACATCCAGGCAACTAGAATAAGAGATGTGAAATTATTCTTAGGGTGGGGAAGGGGGGCAGACCCCTTGAATAAAAAATAATTCAAGAGGAACTCTCTAAAGAATATGGCCTGCGAGAACCATTCATTCTAACAGCCTAATCCTCCCTCCATTGTCGATTGCGATCCTTGGATGTAGTTATTTTTAGTTATTTTATTGCTTTACGAAAAGCGAGCGCACGTCAATCAAAATAAAATCATATGTCCATGGTAACACTGATTCTTTCCAGGCGTTTGGAGGCTGGCTCAAGTACTGCTCTACAAAGGAGTTTAACTGCTGCTACAGCTGATGAACAAGAAGATTGAGCATATGCCGGTTGGTAAACGTAAAAGGAAAGCATTTGGACACGTTTCTTCTGTACCCATATTTACACTGTATAACATGAATGGCTTGTAGCCATCCGCCGCACGTAGACGAGTAAATATTGTTTGGATATAGCTACCTCTAAAGCTTTACATATCGTAAATGACAAGTAGCTAAAACTGAGGAAAGACTGGTGCCTTACAAGGTATCCTGAGATTAATTCTAATGTGATTGATGGCTCCTACAAATCAGTAAGCTTAAATTTGTAGTAAAGTTTCGCACCAGTTTCCCGCGTGCTTCATACCTCGATGAACGCACGCTGACGTATCAACCAATTGTTAATTACAAAGGTTTGAAAGGGAAAGATCCACGGATTAGAAAACTTAGCACCCCAGTCTGCAAATTTTTCAAAATTGCCAAGCTTTCAAACGGCCCAAGAACTCACACTTGAACACTAGTGGCCTCAAAATAAAGTAAAAAAACTAATAGTCTTTGAGTTTCTCCTCGTCATTTTTATTTTATTTATCATATTTATTTTTTACCACAACTATTTCTTTACAATTAGTAAGGTCTCTGAGAGCGTGGCACGAGGCGAGACCAAAGCGAGACTTCTATACTGCATGATCGACCAGTCGACAAATCTAGATTGATATCCATAAAGTCTAAGAGGCATTATTTAACACAGAGCTGTCCGCAAAAAAATTATGGAGTCGTCGGCTTAACAATATTCCTTAATTTCTTCTATTCTACACTTTTCACCACAGCATTCTTCGTAGATATTAGTTCCTTTCCCCCGCTTCCGTCTTCTGTATGAGAGATAGTCTTGTGCTTCATTTTTCGTTTGAACAAACAGATCAGTGCTCATATCTGCAGACAAAGAAAACAATTCAGTTTTTTTTCCTCAATAAAAATTATATGTACACCTTAGAATACAATTATTAAAAAGGGATGTTATTCCAATATTTTATACTTGCCTACTGACTCAAACTCCCACACGTGAAACCTTTAGGACAGGTTATTATCTATCACGGGGCGGGGGGGTGGGGGGACGATATGGGTCGTCGATTTACGTAACACCCCTCTAAGCCTCTGTAGTACTCTAATGATAGCAAAGTTCACCAGAAAATCACGACCACATTAATTTGTCCAAAATTCCCTGGTTCGTTTCTAAAACTGTACAATGGACTAACATCAATTTTACACTGAGTTATGTTTACCTCTTCTGCGTCCTCGTCTCACGGACACTGAACAGACCTCGTCAAAAACACTTTTTATGCTATCACCACATAAGCGCGGCAGGTCAACCGGAAGAGGAGACGCCTCATTCACTTTACACATTTTGCAGGTACGCCCTTTTGTTCCAGGCAGGTCAGCCATGAGCAAGAGAATGCAAATGGTGATTAAAAATTTCATTTTCATTCTAGAGAGAAAAGAAAGACAAACACAAAGACATATTTGTGATATTTTTTTTCAGGTTTGAATACTTATAAAAGTCAAAAAATGCTGACTAAATAGTTCCAACTATAAGGAAATCTTATTTATGACATCTACTTTGAAGTCACTAGTGATTATTGCAATCTGATAGGCTCTTAACTGTGCGATTTATTCACGAATCGCACCGGGTTTTGGAATAAACTTACATCTTTTTCTGCCTCTGTTGATGGGATTGGATCAGCATACAAAAACAATTAATCACTTTTCAGATTTCAATAGTGTGATCTATCTACGAATCGCTCTTTCGTAACACTAAGATATTTTTATGCTGAAATCTAGTTTCAAGGAAGTTGCGTGATTTACTCGGAAATCATTCTGGTGGTTCCACATTAACTTAACGCTGCGCGCACGGTCCAAGTTGACTCACACGTTTAATTTTGGACCAAACTGCAATATTATTCAAGTTGCCCGACCAGATTAACCCTTTAACTCCCAGGAGTGACCAAGACAGAATTTCTCCTTACAATATTAATACAATATCAACCAGACATGTAATGAGAGTAAAGGAAACTATCAATTTGGAGATAATTAGTTGATCCAATACTAAATTCTTTGAATTAACATTATAAGAATTGTATGGTTGACAGTAAGGAGAATTACAAATTTGGTCTGAGAGTTAAAGGTTTAATGAACTATTTAGTTGCATTTACAGCTCGAAAGGAATTGCTATCAAAATAAGTTTCGACCCGAAATAGGTAATCTTTAATTGTCCAACTTATTCGGCTCGTAAATCGCAGGCTCGAATGCATCTTGAAGCTCTGGATAATAATAATAACTGATTGACTTACATTGCGCAATTATCTATATAAAATGTTGAACTATGCATCACAATATTAAAAATTGAACTACACTTAAGTATTAAGTAAAAAACATTAAAAATGACAGAAATATAGAAACACAATATGTATATAGATAAAATTTAAAAGCTTTGTGGATAAAAAAAGTTATTTACAGCTTTCTTAAAACTGTCTAAGGATTCAATATTTCTGATGGAAAAGGGAATATCACTCCACAGTTTGCTGTTTGCAATATTGACTTGTCATCGGTCCCTCGAGCGTGAAACCGGTCGATCACTTGTAGGGCGCACTTTTCATTGATCCTTAACTATAACAAACGCGGTTTTGAATGGATCAATGTAATATATTTTGTTCACCCGCATGACGAGGATTAATTACGAATTTGTTATGTTGTTTCACTTCCGTGTAAAGGGCCGACAATGGTGTAGCATGATCACGGCATCAACATAGCATGAACAAAAGAAAATATTCGCTTAAAACAGAAAATAAATCCCTAATTGATAAAAATGTGCTCAGAACATACCAAAAATATAAACCAGAATAACGCCCACTCTTGGAAACACTGTTAAAATGTTTGGCCACAATCCACTGTCCTGATCGTGCGCGGTAGAAACACAGCGTTCGCCTCCAATTTTTCTTCGTCAAAACTTATTGTCTTATTTTGCAAAAGTGTTCAGTTTTTAATCAAGCTGGATTGAAGAATAGACCTCTTTAGCTTTTATGTTTTGTTCACCCATTTCAGGTCATGCAATAATACTTTAGACTGTTTCTTTCAAGCTTTCTTTAAGTACAGGCATATGTACGAATAATTTTCAAAAGGCAATGTTGGGAATTCCCTTGAGACCTGAAATTGGTAAACAAAACATAAAAGCTAAAGGGAAAGGTCTATTGATGAGACTTTTGCTCAATGGCTTTGAAACTCAAATCGAGGAAATTCTAATGAGAAAAAATTAATAATAAATAGGAAATGTTTGTTAAAAATCTTTAAGGTACAGAACAGAACCTAGCGAAGGTACGAATCAGTCAATCCTCTTCTCTCCCAATCTTTCAGGGCAATTGTGTCATTTACAGTGTTAAAACAACAAACAGTGAACTAAAATTTACTAGAATCAGATAAACTTTACAATGAAATGTAACGCTTTCACGACAACGGACTTCTTAAGTTTGATCACTAGGAACAGCAGACAAGAATCATAGTGTTTTCCTCCTTTGAATTCTGTATTTTCATAGATCTACATGCATATGTTTATGCCATCGTAGCTTATTTCAACTACTGGAAATCCTTTATCCAGCATATTGAAGCTAGCAGTGAAATATGTAATATACCTAAAGCAAAATAAAAGAATTTGAAAGTTGAATGACTATTTGTCACTCACCTATAGATATGACTCGGAGATTTCTGCTCGAAAGGAAACGGAAAACTTCTTTAACTATCAGAGCAGCAGAACGTTTCTTGTACTAAATTACAATGAAGTAAAAATGCATTAAAACCATACAAAAATGTGATTTAAAATCTCGCTGAAATTGTGAAAACTCTTTCAAATCGCCGGAAATTCACTCACGTTGTTTTTCAAACTTCTTTATAAGGAAACCCGACCCGGGTTTTGATTGGACAAACGGATGATAAAGAAATCTAACGCTTTTGTTTACATAATAATTTTCACCTCAATGTTCTCCGTTCCCAACTAAATGAAATTTTCAACAATTGTTCTGTTGATTGGCAAGAATTTCTGGAACACTTTACATGTCAGTAAATGATCATACTTCGTAGAAAACACCCAAAATTATTAGTCATTCTCAACATGTTTTATCAATACAATTACAGTTGTGTGCAAAATCATTGCTATGACTCCATATTAAAGTTAAGCACTTAACAGTTGTTCACCCAATATGGTGTGAACGCCGAATCGGAAATTCACTTGCATTACATAACAAATATTTTCCTTTTTATTGACTGTAAATTAAAAACGAGTTTAATTTTGGTCTATTAACCGGAATCTAACAAATATTAAATTAACTCTTGTCGACACCCGTGTTGAAAGGAAGAAGTGTCACCACATTTCAATTTCCGGCTTTAAAATGAAAAATAATGGCAGTTTCAACAGAGCAGAAAGATATCACAGAAATTTTCAGAGTTTACTCTTCCTTCAGCCCACGCAATGAGCAAGTTTAATTGCATTTGAAAATGATTATTTGAGTGATTTTGAGCATGTAAATGAAATATTCTTTGAGATAACTGTTCTCTTATCAGCTTAAAGAAAAATATAAGAGAATTAAGGATAAACCATGACGACGGTTGACACAAATTGCAGTTGACAACGTTACAAAATTGAGGTTAAAAACATTTAAACATCTACAAACAGTGACTGAAATCGTTTCAACAACTTTCAAAGATCTTAACGAAATTTTAAGCAACAAGAAGAGCACATATCGTACTTCTCAGGTTTTGTTTCTGGGCACACGTTTCTGTCCATAGGAATATAACACTTAAAGGTAATTTTAAAAAAACTTAATTTTATCTATCATTTTTGACAGTCAAGTTAGCTTTTTCTTGTGCAGAACGCAAGGTAATTTTTGAGAAGCTCACATGGTTGAGTTAATCTAACAGAACTACCCAGCTTTTGGTAGTTAAAAAGGATTCAAAACCCTCAATACGACTTTTCATGAGGTAAAAGTTATCTCTACGAATATTCCTACAACAGATCTGAAACCCAAACAGATTCATTTGCACATTGGCTTTATGCCCTTACTATTGAAACATGAGAGCAGATTCTTCCAAGCTGAAACAATTACCTACTTTTTTCTTTACGGCGATGAACACACATATTTGTTTGATTAATCAATTTATCGCTCTGTGCTCATGTTCAGTTGAGACAGTCGGAAAATCGATAAAAAATCAACCGTTTTAGATAGTGGAGATACTTTTGAAAGAACATTCACAATTTGATAGCCGGTATCTTTGCTATTCATTTGCAGTATCCTGTAATATGTATGAAAACACACATCAAAGGATACCGCAAATGAACGGCTTTCTAGTTGAAGTAATATTATAAGGTTGTTCTATGGGATCCCTTCTTCAACAAGAACTAGGAATACAAGTACTTTTATGCGTCCTAGGAACATTTTTTTCTTTCTCTCGCACAAGTAGAACTGAGATTTTTCAAACTGTCGCATGCGCTTCCTCCACAAGACAAAATGACAGAATTAATTTTGGAATTATTCTCGATCATCATGCCGGGACTTTCAAGTCAGGGCATGCCCAGTCATGTAGATTTCTCCGGCTTTGCTTAGAATCATCCCAAATGACGACAAACGCTGCGCAAGTTCAAAATATAACTGGTTTTCTATTATATTTCGTTACAAAGCTTTTCTTATGTGAGCTAATATTTACAACTTTACCTTAATTTGGTTATTTACCTATGTAAGTTTACGGACTTGATGCTTACACATTGTGTATTATTTTCTTCAACTTAATGTACCGAGATTGTGAATTGATAAAATTGGAGACTGTCATTTTTAAACTTTTCACGCATGATAACGTTTTATCTTACATATATTTATTATGAGAGTAACTGTAGTGATAATGATGCTTTTGGCCATTAAAGCTTGCTCATAATTCTGTGGAGGCTGCGTTTGCTCGTCATGCGAAGAGCAGTGTCTATCTATTTCATCAATTTTTCCTAAATCGTAATGGAGCATTCATTATTTGTCGCCTAAGGGGGGGTGAAGGACTTTGGGAAGAATATGTGGTTTTCAGGGGGGATGGACGGACGGGATCAGTCGTCACCAAAAGAATATAGGAAATAGACATCCAATTATCTAAGGGAAGGGATCATAGCAATTTTACAGAACGCTATGGGAGGAACAGGTAAATTTTGTTGTGACATAACCAAAATCTTCCAACTCCTCAGGCAATAAATAATGAGCGGTCCCCGATATTATAGTGGGATAATGATTATATGATTAAATACATCAGTGAAGAGAAATTAATATATATATACATATGTATATATATATATATTTGGTCCCTGTTCATAAAATAATGCGAGCGAATCGCAATGGCGTGAAAATATGTCCTTGTAAGCAGTCGGGTACGCTCCCGGTGGGCGATGGCTTAACCAGCTTTCAAACCTTTCCGTATTCACCGTTTCCGTGTAAAATTGGCAACAGCATGCACACGGCCAATCACAGTGATCAGCTCTTTGTGCATCCATGCATTCGTCTTAATTCAAGCGATTTTAACGTGACGAGGTTTGCTGACAAATATAGCTTCATTAACAATACTCTGCAATTTCCTCCACTCTGCATCCCTCACCACAGCATTCTTCTTGAAGGTCGGTGCTTCTTCTGTTATCATTGTCTCTCCTTCGTCGTATCGAGGACAGGAAATCCGTTGCTTCGTATTTCATTTGAACAATTTGGTCGGTAGTTGTATCTACCAAGTAAAAAATGTCATAGCTATTGCAAAAGTTTGTAAATTAAAATAAATAATCTTTCCATCATTCACATGATTCATTCATTTATCTCCCCATCCATTCTTTCATTCATTCACTTTTCTAAATTTTCTTCTTTTCTCAGACATCTCACCTTTCATTCATTTATTCATGAATATGGTGGACTCAAAACAGTTCCTTCAGACCGCCATTCTGTTTTCCCCTAAGTGAGAGTAGTTTCATTTGCGCGTCGAAAACCAGAGTAATCCCGGCGACCGATTAAGACAAAGTTTTACATTATCATGAGCCAATGAGAACTCTTAGTGAAAACAAGCAAACTGCCAAAAGCGCACGAAAACGCGAATGACCAAGTCCCAATTGTTGTTAGCTTTGCATCTGATTGGTTAAGCCTGAGGATGACGCAAGTTTTCGGGACCAATCGCAGAGCAAAGCTAAGTAAACCTAAAGCAATCTAAGATTACCCAAGACACTCAAATGAAAATTATTCTAACATCATCATTGTATGAGTACCTCGTCTATGCTTGCGACTATGCCTTCGTTTGGGCCATTTTGATTCCCACAACGCCGTGCACACTGATTTTAGTACCCAAATAAGGTTATCACCGCACAGATGGTTGGCCGTATGAGTTGATGGTGATGGTTTAACTCTCCTAGAATTTTGTGTCGTTACAACACTGCGTCCCAGAATTTCAGGTAGGTCTATCGTCAGTATTAGAAGAAATATTGTCAATCCAGCCTTGACCACATCCATTCTGAAGAGAAATTCAATCATTTTCAAAAGAATTAGAAATTGATCGATTTACTAAAGGATTTCGTTATGGGTGAGATTTAAAATAAAGGAAATGTCTAGTACTTATATCGCAAAAGAGGTCACGGTTAGTCTTTGAGGTAAATGCAACTGTTTACAAGATGAATGATTATCATGTACGAGTCGCGAATGTTAAGTCCACCATTTTTCTTAGTTAGTTCAATGGAGTTCAGGAATAAGCTGTACTCCATACGAACAGCTCAAAATGAAACTTCGTCCCAAATTCAAAATAGCAGTCTCAATCCAAATATTTTTTGAGTTGAGAAATGCAATACTTAATTTTAAAAAATATGGGTCATTTTCCTCTTAATCTGGGTGGTACTTATTAGACTACCCTGCCGTAAGACAGTTTTGATAACCTATCCGGCGAAAAGGTTGTGACAACAGACACACTAATCTCGACGAAGCAGCGAAGTCTCTTAACTAGATCACAAAGACGTATGTAGCATCAAGAAGGGAGAGTTACAAATTTGATCTTTAGTGCTTAACGATTGAAGACCGACATGCGTGAATTTTATAAAAACAATGGCATTATGTCAAAAAAAGTCTCAAAAGATTAGATAGATAAATAAAATTAGTTCAGGTTTTTTTTCCTGTTCAATTATCAGTTTATAATTTACTAATTCCGTTCAGAATAATCGAACTATTTATATCAATTAGTATTTAATTTTATTGCACAACATTTGTATTTTATGGTTTCTTTTATGCACTAAACACCTATTTTATTTGTTACAACACAGGTACAAATTTAAGTTTAAGAAACTCACCTTGAATAATATCTGTCGCTCAGTTACACAGCAGAGCTCGTGTAAGGTTTCATCAAGTATATCAGAATTCCTGATTAGTTAGACTGTGTTTCCATAGAAGCAAGTCGCTAATGGGTTAAATTACGAAATCGACGAAAGCCGACAAGTGACTCACAGAAAATTGCCGATTGGCTACTTCGTCAAACGAGCCGAGTGAATCAGCGAAGAAAAATCTTTCGATTTACTGGAAACAACTTTATCTCTCCTCGACCTTTTTGAGACTTTTATTAACAACATTTATTAATGGTATTTGCTTGCTATGACTTAAGTAAACCATTTAGTTATTACTCAGTGATATATTTATTCATTAAGTTATTCACGTATACAAAATTGAAATACAGAATTTTAAGAGGTTCAACAGAGAATCATGAAGCATATAGAATAAGCCTCTCTCCTTTACATTGTTCAACAAACCAAAAATCATTGAGAGACATTTTGAAACAAATTAAAGTTCAGGCATTTAAATACTAATTTTACCTGATAACTTTGATAGAATTTGAAATTAACTTATCACAAACATTTTAATAATCTTACTGGTAAAATATATTGTTAACAAATTTTGACGTTTTATTCTTTAAATTTCGACCAATAACAGCTGTAAATATAATAATCAATTTATTCCTAATAAATCTTAGAATCTTCAGAAGTTACGCTTTATATATCCAGTGGATACTGATATCGTAAAAGTCATATGGCAATTCGTCGTGATTACATGAAACAACGATGTTATTATTTGTCTCTTCCGATGTGGATAGAGCCATAAAAGTGAGCCTCAATCGCCCCTTAAGACTTTGAAGACACCCACATAACATACTTTTGTAATAATCCAGATATGATATTTTCTACATTTTCTAATCGAATAAAACCCGAAATATTGCGCTTTTCAAAAGAGGCTGCAGGTCAGTGGACTAAGACGAGCGAAAAGCGGGCGCACGAGGAACGGTGGGAATGGCGTACTAAAGCCATGTGCAATTCGCTTGTTATTTTGGTGTCTGTTTAGAGTCTGCTTGAAACAGATTTAGTCAGGAGCCCATTACCCATGGGCTTCTGGTTTAGTAAATTGTGCAGCAATGATTATGCAGAATGTCGCTAGGTCATAAATTTAGATGTCCACTGGAACTAATTACCGTCGTCGCATGAACCATAGACAACTTATGAAGGTGCACTTATATATATGTTTTTAATTTGTTATCTATTCCAGACAAACATGTTAATAAAGCAAAAGATGGAACAGCTGGAAATGTCTGCGCATGCTCAGACATCAAACCGCAAGGCACGTGCTTAATTCAAACAAGACAACATGAAGAAAAATACATTATTATTTAAGAAAAAAATGAAGCTTTTTTTTTTTTTAATTGATTCGATATAGGAATACGCTTAAAAAGTCAGGTAGACGATTGTGATTTATCTCACATAGAAAAAAAAACATGATCATTGTAGTTACATTTTTTCCCTTAACCATTTTTTGGGACACTTTTTTCACCAATAAGGAAAACCTGGTTAACGATCTCGCATTATGAGAACACACTGAGAGATCATGAAAGGTACAAACCTCGTGCATTTAATCAAAATAAAGCTATTTTGTTGTATTGAAGTTAAAATCACTCCACTTTGTATTGCTCTGCCCAGTCGGAGAGAAAAGAGATTTTAAGTAGCTGGCCTTAAAAATATAGTAGAGTGGCCATGAAGTAAAGTTATATAGGAATTCTGTCTTACCTTTCTTTCACGGATACGAGTTCTCAATCTGAAACAAAGGAGAGAAGAAGCCTTGATCAAAATACGCCCAGCTTTATATCACAGCACTTAAAACTAAACGTTTGCTTGGTTTAAAAAAAATCGCACCTGAATGTAAAAGAGATGTGGCCGCAAATTTTGACGAAACAAACGTATAAACACTAAAAGCGTAATTGTTATTACAAAAGTGCTCGCTCTTCTAATTAATTATTACTTTCAACAAATTGCATTATCCAGTGAAATGGCAATATTTAAAGGAATGAACAAACAGCCACAAATGCGAAATTTGAAAGGTTGAGTTTCGTCATTTCATAAGCTTCTCATGCGGTTTACCTCAAATCTCGAAAAGATGTTTCCACGCTGGCCAAGTGTTGCAGCTTTTACTTTTTTACACAAAATTTGTATTAGTAGTGAAAACCGCTTCTGATTGAGTACCGACAAAACAATTATCACTTTTTTTTCCTCTTTCTCTATTTTTTTCGTACTGCTCCCTATCCTAGCTCTGAAATAAAAATCTATCGTTCTTCGTGGTCACTATAGCTTTCTAAAAAAGCCAAAATGACAAAACAAAAAATGCATAACTAATAAGAGTCCCAAAAGATAACAATTGCAACTCTTCCATTTAAGCTACTAATGTTGTTTCATAGAATTCGCCGCACAGATTTTTTCCATTTCTAATTTTTCAATCACTAGTCTTTCTTCAACTCTTTCCAGTGTTTCTTTAAAAAAAATCAACGGTTCAAGTTTTGGGTCTTCTGGCGTTTTTTGTCAAAGATATCTGTTACAATCAGAAGTCGAAAACCTGTTATGAAAATTTTATTGAAAGAAGGAGTAGGGAATATAAACACAGAACATTAAGATGATTGAGGCAAAGCAAAAACAACCAAACAAGTGTGTTTTCTTGTAAATTTATATTTAATTTGTTTTGTTACTTTCATTTGTAAATTTTGGTGAAGCTTTTTGTAATGAAATGAGCGTAAGTCGTTTTCATCAGATCAAAGAATCTGCACCCCAAAGAGCTAGAACTTACTATGGTAAAGAAATCCCAGACAACATGCAGTCTTCACTTCGACTTAATCAGGGAAAGCATCGTTTCCTATCGTGTTAAGATCTACCCACTTAAAATAACCGCAGTGAAAATCCTCAATATCTTTTCTCCCATCTGGTATCAATTGCAGTCACGTGACTATTCCACGTGGCCGGCTTTCGTAAGAATGTAAATTGAATCAAATTACTCGGAATAAGTAAAAAAAAAATGTTTATGAAAGCTGATGGCCTCTAAAGCTAAACTCAAATGTCTCTACAAGGTAGTGCTTAATTACATCGAAGCGTGCCTTCCTTTCAATGCGATGGTAATCGCGACACTTAATTTTATTTCTTACATCAATGAAGGGGTTAAGAATGATATATTTACGGTGGTTTCTTTCACTTTAAACGCAACATTTAAGCTCACGCGACGAAATTACCGAGTTACATTTGACGACCATTTCCGAAGGACAATTTCGCACAAGAGAGACACGATTGTCTCCTGAGTCATATGAGATTTTTTTAAAATTTTTTTTACCTTTTTTCTGTTTTGTTTTGCTAAATCTTTTTCTTCCTTTTTCACGATATCTCATACACGTTTTTCTTACGCCAGCAAAATCAAGCCTTGCGTTCTTTCATCCGTGAATGTCAAAAGATGAGGTTTGTATTACAAAGCTTACTGGTTTGGCTTCGTACGACAAATATGGCTGCTGTTACATTACATGAAAATGATCCATGGCAAAACACAATTAGTCTCACTTATCAAATCAAATACTTGTTCGAAAAAAAAAAAATTATGAACATCATTTTACTTGATTAGCCAATTTTTTAATTAGACAATGGAAACGTCAGTAGGCAAATTTAGGAATGAAGTTCCTTCATGATGTTTCTAACTGGCGTTCCTTCCTTTAAGTAATTAATGTAATTGGTTTTGAAACAAATCAGTAATAGGATGACTTGCAAAGATGACTGAAATCAAAATAGTATGGTTTATCTTGTCTATATTTGATTTCGCAGTAACTCCAAATTTGGGATAATTTTTAAATACGTTTGTAGAAGGTTCCCACTATGAGGCACCGTGTGTTTATCGAAAGCAAGCTGGCAAAAATAGTTGAATCTACTGACTGGAAAAAACCCTTGAATATGAATAAAATCATGGTTCAATCGTATTTTTTGGTTGTATCAACGATACGTTAGTAAGAGGCCTATTCGCATATTATGCCGCATAAAGTATTATTCTGTTTGTCAATTTGCGCCGTTCGGTTTGGAATCTCATCAGTCGAAAAGAAGGTTTTTAGAGTACAATTTACCTGAAACGAGCGCTGAGAATTCTCCCTTTTCCGCGGGCAATTGGCTTCGCGAAGGCTCCGTATAATTTTACAACCCTCTCAATAGCTTATGTAAATACTGGGTTGAGGTGACATCTGTTTTGGACCTCAAAAACTAATCATGTCTGAGTGGTCTATTTAGAACTCGCCGTTTTACTCAAACTGTCTCGGTTTGTTTGTTACGTGATACACAGTTTGCTGCAACGTAACGAGATTTTTAATAAGCTCAACAATGATGCAGAATCTTACTTTGCGAAAAATAGATTATCTAAGCTACATGAATTGTGCACAATAAGTACATTTTCTGAAAAGGGACGAATCGAATTACAAATCACATTTAACATATGAATTGATGAAAACAAAATGATTAGAGGCATTCTTTACAATGTTGTTTGGATTCAGGCTTTTACGATCTGCTAATCGGGACAATTTCATTTATTACTTTTCCTCGAGTATGATTTTTTATGTGGCTTGGATAACTTAAAATTAATATTCCTGCTGCGAAAAATATAACGCTGCAAGTTCTTGGTTGTTCAAAATCAAAAATTCGAACAAACCCAGAGAAAAATAGTCATTTAAACGATTTTGTAAATTTTTTTTCTTTTTGAAAAACATGAGTCACGGTGCTATACTAAGATATTTCTCGCTTTGAAGTGGCGTTTTTCATGACGTCACTGAGGTGCAAAAATCCCTTTTTTTAAGGGTGCCGGCCACTCGAGCAATTAATTCACAAGTACAGTTCGGTTTACATCAATTTATTTTAGTGTTGAAAATATCCAGAGTTTCCTCATTAAAATATTCGACTCTCATATGAATTTTATAACGCTTTTGCACTGTGAAATTTCAAATAAACGCTACATCAAGATAAAATTTCCAAAAATGTTTGCAAAAACGTTCGAGGTTCAAAATTAAGCAAAATGGAGAATTCGCATCCTCTCAACGTGAGTATAAATTAAGCGATTTTTTTTTTTTTTTTTTTTTGCCTCGCTTTCACTATGGCTAACGATACAAATCAATTTTTTTCTTTTTTTTCTCATTGGCTTACACTTTTTTTCCGAATTTAATATAACACGTGAGTATACCTCGGCTACAAGCAAAAGCTTTTTATCTTTTCATTACTGATTTGACTGATCGCATGAGTTTTCGACAGGAAATCGAACTTGGTTCTCAGGCGCCACGGATATGATAAATTAAAGCATTTCAGCCCAGGATTAGAGAATCTCAAACCTCATTGCAATATGGCTGCCGCCAGATGAGACAAAAGATATATGGGTTTGATCTCTAGCTTGTAGAGCGTAGTCGAAGCGTGCAGACAATGAATTTTATGTCAAGTATCGTACTTCCGTTCAGAAAACAGGATTTTTTGAGTGGATAGCGTAGATAACAGTACAAAAACCTTTTTTTTTTCTATTCCTTCAAATTCATCAGATTACAAAAAGCCGAGGAAGTACTTGAGGAAGACGAAATGGTCCCAAAAAGAAAAATGAAGTGAATGAAACGAGATTTCGAGCCTCGGTGAAGAAACTATCGCGAAAATGTAGGAAACCACAAAATAGGAACTTCGGGATGGGAAAAAATGAATCGAAAGGAAAAGGCGTTGACAGAGGATAGATATGGTTGGCAGGGATTGCAAACAATGATCTTGGCTTGTTTAGGCTAAATTCTCAAGTGGCAAAAGTAACAATGCCTCTGTAACAAAATCTTCTCAGGGATTCAGGCCGGTAGGAACAAATTTTGAAGTGAGGGGGGGGCAATGGTGAAAGTGGCAGTGGAGTATTACATTGGATTGGAGGGAATGCCGGAGTCATCCTCCTCCGAAAGATCTTGAAAATTTAAATACGTTCTATGATGCAAATCTTTTGATAATCTTTTCAAGTAAAATTTTTTTGTCACTTTCAATTAACCTTGAAGCCAGTTTCTTTTTGTTTGTTTGTTTGGTTGGTTTTTTTTAATTGCATTGTTTTATTAATTATCCGCAACCACTTATTTATGGCAGCGCACTTGTCTTTGCCCATAAAGTGGTAGGGGGAACATCCGGTTGCCCCCACCCCCGCCCTTCCCACCCCATTCCCAAGGGCACGAGCGCAATGCTTGACAAGTTTAGTTACGGTAACTAATTCTTGCGACCGGTGCTTGGGAAGATAATAATTTGATACTCGTCTAAGTTACGAATCCTTCAGTTGAGTTGACAGAGCAACTGGGCTTTGTAAGTTAGAAGCGAAGCAACTGTATCACGCGACCCCCTTTGAAATCGTTATCGGAGTAAAATCGACGCGCATAATCGCACAAAGAAAGACTGACATTTTTACGTAGAAATCACTTCGTAGAACCGATTTATGCAGGGGTGAAACGAGCTTGGCTCGGGGATCGTTATTTCTGACGTAACTGTAAATAGCAAACATTTTGAATTCCTACGTTTTGTCCATGCAGAGAAAGACGTGATTAACATTAGCGCAAGTTAAATATATGAAAGGAATCCTATATATACGCTGCATGAGGTGAAATTGTGTAAGATAATTGAAGGGTAAATACGTTAAGCCAATTTAAGCTGCTTTTTCCGTGAGGTTTTTTTTAGACAGGAAAACTGCTTGAAACAAAATGCGTTTTTTTAGGAAAAAAAATAAAGCATGTTCCCACAAGAAACATATAACGCAAAGCC